GATGAGGTCCCCTTTGGATATGTCTCGTTGACTCGTCAGTTGAGTATAGCAGCGATGGCTGGAAAGGACAAGGCAGTAACATGGCTGATCGAGGAGGGGAAAGTCCCCGTCAGATGGGAAGAACTGGTGACAGCCCGAAATCAGTTGTCTCTGTCACCACTCCCATTTCAGGCGCAAATACTTGTTCAACTATGTCGGCTGAAAACTAAGACTCTCCCAGTGGCTCAGGTGAGAGCGTTTGAATTACCATTTTATGCAGGAGGTTAACGGCCGTGAGTAGAGGTCTATGAGAAACAACGTTTTGCGAGGGAAAAATGTTGCTAATGTGATGATGACATTTACACGGGAAACTGATTGGGGAATGTATTCCCAGCCATATGGAAAAATGAGTTCCGCCTCCTGGGAACATTATGGGTTCTCAGACAGTGTTGGAGGAATATATGTAATCGCTTTCCTCAGCTGAACTCAGGAGTTTCCTCACTAATTATAGGAGTTTATATACGAATTCTGGGTAGAGGTGTACGGAAGCTAATAAGAATTTCCCTACGTTTCCTTATAATTTTCATATTGTCACCAACACATGTAGTTGATCATGCGCATATTTTCCCACACCGTTTTGGATGATTCCCTTCGAAATCAAATATTGTCGACGCTCTAATGTGGCATGTTCCTATTTGATTAATTTACCCCCTTCCCTGCTTCTCTGGGTAGTCAATAGAGATGTGCATTATTCTACTCAAGGACTAGAGTAGAATGTGATAGATAGGAAAAGGTAGGTATATATAAATGAATCGATAGCACTACATTAGCTATGAGAAAAGGCTATGTAGATATTACTAAGGATTGTGTATTGGGAAATTGTGCGGCGTGCATTAGATACTACTACCGTTGTATGAGCGCCTTGTGCCGGAGACAGAGGTGGCAAACGAGCGTGCCACAGTAACTGACTTGTTCGCGGAGGCGGTAAAAGCGCCCAACTACCAGCTGGCTAAGTGGGAGATGGTTGCCTTTGGTCCACCATAGTAGCAGGGCATTTAGGTACTTGATTGATGATCATAAGCGAGAGATCAATCTCAAGTAAGGGACAGACAGCGGAGCGAAGCGTGTCGGGATTGCCATTTTTGAAATAATAGCCGTGAATGGCACTTGTAGTTGACCGTGTGCATATCTTCTCACACTTTATCTTTCGAGTGGAGCTTTTGATTAGCTCAGGGGCAGGGTAGGAGTGTTTAGGTTACTTTCACTGATATTGACTTATCGATTTCTTGTATCAGGCGGCTACTGGAACGCTATGGTCCATCGTTTATATCACGTAGCGATAGTATGATGAGTATATCGAGCTCTCTTGGGGCGATGGAGGGTGTGCCTCTTGAGGGAGGGCTACTGGTCGATGCTGTGAGAACCAAGATGCTAAGTGAGAGATTTGTAGCTTAGTGGTTAGCGTGCTGGCTGTCAGTCTGTCCGGGAGAGATCTAGGTCGACCCCGGCATGTGTGTTTTTCCATTATTAATTCACTGCTCACAGGTTGTTAAGTTGTTGGTAGAGCTCTTGAACGGTGGCATCAAGAAACTAAAGGACGAAGAGCGAGACGTGTGGAATATAATGCAAGCCATTGAGGTGGCTCAGGAGCACGGCAACACAGAAATTGCAGAATGTGAGTTCAGTGTGGAGAAAAAATATGCACATGGCCAACTACATGTGTTGGTTACTATCCCAAAATTCTGAGGATATTTTGGGAGATTCGTGTCGGATTCATATCTAAACTCTTACCATTACTGAGGAAGCTCCTGGGCCTAGCTGACGAAAACAGACATATATTCCAACATTGTCTGAACTAAGCCGACTATTGCCGCCCTGTGTTTGACGGTGTCTTCGAGATAGATGATAGTCGGTGTTGTATTACTGTAGGGTTGGTTCTGTATCTACCAAGACACACGATGGAGGGGAAGTCGGGAATGTCCTTCTTCACCAACGAGTCTAATAAGAAAAGCAGTGAGTTTACCACCTGGGTATGCATGAGAGTATACCAGGGCATGTTTACTTTGGTTGTTATTTGCTACACATTGTAAATATAATTGGTATACAGTGTGAACAGCAACCAAACCGTTATTATGCAAAGTAATATTTTCAACACCTTCAATTTTCGAAAGTCAACTATGAGTAATATCAACATGATAACAATGTGAATCGATTGACACCAACGTTTTAGAAGCGTTCCGTAGTCTATATTCGTATTACTCTCGAATTGAAGAAAGCCATCTCGGAAATCTAGATATGCATAACTGTTTGCTTCGCACTGTAGTGTGGTGGTTGGTGTTCTGCCCTGGCATGCTAGAGACTCGGCGCTAGACAAGTCCAGCTTGATGCAGTAGCAGGTGTGCTTCTGTGTCAGATTATAGTAGTAGGAGGAGCTCGAAATCTCCCACAAGTAAGCGAAAGTTTGTCGATTTTCGTGAGCGGAGCGATAATTTTCCTTGGTGTGTTACTGTAGCTTCGAAAAGATCCACTTTGGCGTCACAACTGAATCAGCGAGAAG